GCTGCATGAATGTCTGTGCACCATATTGTGTGCTTGGTGCCCATAGTGGTCAGAAGAGATGACGGGGACTCCTGGAAGTAGAATTATAGATGGTTGTGAGCTGTCTTGTAGGTGCTGGAAATCAAACCCCAGGTTCTCTGGAGAAGTAACCAGTGCTCTTAACTGCTGCGCTCCACGTCCAAATGTTCTTGCTTACTCAACATTACTTATTTGGGTACCAACTTCTTGACCTTGTCCCAGCTACAAAACACAAAACCCAAGGTGGTGACATTCAAGCAGTCAGGTTATATGGATGTTAAAGTTTGACTCCTGAAAGAGAGAATGTAGGGAGTTTTTCTCACTGTAACACCCCGGGGAAGTAGCTTTGCCACTGGCCTGTTTCGCCTTGCGTTCTGTAAAAGGAGACTGGATTGGACAGTTAAGAATGCTCAAGAAAGGACGCTGAGATCCAGCTTCTGTGCTAGTGTCCTCAGACTCTTTCCTTAGGGGAAAGCAACGGAATGAGGAAAGACAAATAAGCAAATAAACAAATAAATAAATTTCAGTTGATTTCTGTAATTGGGGCATGGTTATAGTTCAAAACTCCCAAGGGGTGTCTAAAATGGAAGAGAACCCTGAGTTTCATACATACTCTGTTTGTGTCTTATGTTTACATAACTATAAAGTTTAAATTAAAGATATGTCACAGCAAGCATCTAACAATTATAACCCATAGTAAATAAAATTATATCCATATTCTGTAACAAAATCCACTTAAAACTTGTTAATTGCTTATTTCTGGAATTTTCTATCTAAAATCTTTGCATTTGCCTCAGTGAAAATTTTGAAAAGCTAAGCTATGGATAAGCTAAACTGTAGGCTATTTGTTATTTTGACAGTCAACCTGAAAAGGAAGCCAAGTAGGCACTGCATGGGATAAGAAATGAATAAATACCATTGAAAAGGCATGAATTACCTTTAAGAAAGTATTGTAAGAGACAAGCAATTGAGATCTTGATCAGATTTGAATATTTCTTTCAATTCTACCTTCCTGCTTATGTTGTTAGAGGAGAAATTCTATTATGCAATGTCTAAAGCCATAGTTTGATACATTGCTGATAATACATCTCGGAAACAAATGTGCTTATTACCAAATACTCATTTATCTTTCAGACTTAAAAACCTATTATAATAAATCACACTACTTCCTCAGTCTTACCTCAAAGACACAAAAAAGGAATGTTTGGTTTATATTCTGATAAAAGCGCTGCATCTGACAAGTATTCAGGTTTCAATTAACTTAATTGTGGAAAGAAAGCTTAGAAGGAAACATGGTACTTGAAAATCTAAACCTCCCACTGTGTAACTAAGAAACCTTTTGGACATTATATATTTAATGACTTTTGGATTTAACCCCCTGTCTGTATGAAAAAAAATGTTCAGAACAAACATGTACTTTTCATTTCTCCTCTCACCTTTCATCTGGGAACGTTTTATTTATGCACTAGACGAACTTTTGGCCATTAGAACCATCTTGCTTCAGCAGTTAATTAACACAAGTACCATAATTTAATACAGTTAATGCTACTTGATGCCCTTTAATGTACCTTCCATTAGTGATATTATTGTAGTATTACCCTGTAAATTAAAATGAGATCAAGACTAAGAGAGTGGCTCTTTAATTAAGGTACTGGCACATTGCACTTCTCCATTATTCACCGGAGAAAATCACCCTGATTTACTGAAGCAGGACAGCCATAAGTCAGAATTAGCCCAGGAAGATTATTAGGTTTATTGAACAATGTAAGTGTCATGGAGTTACTGAGATTGCCAATAGCATTGCTTCCTCTTTTTCCTCCATTATCTTGATAAATACTCAAGCCATAAATGAAAGCAAAATAAACATGTAGCAAAAGAGAAATGCATTTTATAACAATATTATAGACTTTGTTATCAGTTCAATAGATACTGGATAGATCCCATGCTAAAAAAGCCTAAACTAGTGGTTCTCAACCTTTCTAAGGATGCGACCTTTACTATAATTCCTTATGATGTGGTGACCCCCCCAGCCATAAAATTATTTTGCTGCTACTTCAAAACTGTAATTTTGCTGCTGTTATGAATCGTAATGTAAATATCTGGTATCCAGGATATCTGATACTTGAAACCCTGTGGGGATTGCAACTCACAGATTGAGAACCAAAGGCCTAAATGATTCATTAACCTAAGGACAGTCAAAATATTGCTTTTAGGTTAAATAAAATAGTCATTATAAAATCTACATATGTATATTTACATTATATCTTCAACTATTTCCATTTCATAGTTTAATAGTTCAATATAGAAAAATATGTTTTCTGTTGACTGTATTGCAAATATTTATAGCTGGTCTTCATACAAAATTTATATAATGATTTATATAAATTCCCACATTTTGCTTGGTTGGTATTGGAAGTGACAACAGAAAAATGTCATTATTATTCCTGGGAAAAGACACATATATAAGATTCTGGGATTGTGTGACCATGGGATGGAAAGACAAGCTACAGGAAACAATGCCCTTTCTTACATTTAGAAAAATTTAGAACTTCCCAATAAAAAAATCATCAACTAATAGGCAGTCTTTGTATAGATAACCTGTTGTTTAAAGGAAAGACAACCAAGGACATGAATCCTGAAATTTTCAACGGTAAAATCATCAGTTTCTAGGCTGAGAGGCCTTATACTCCACGGTTGCTCAGCTTTCCCTTTAGTGGCTCCATCGTGAACAAATATTCCTTACATAACTTGAAAGCCAGAGACATGCCGGAGCCATCAGGCCCTGCTTCTTTAGTCCCTCCCCCAGGACTAAAAATACTCCAGCCATCTGGTGCCTAGTGCAGTACATGCCAGCACCAGTTTGCCCCAAAGAATTTGGACAGAGTGGAGGTGACAGAGCAGCACCGTATGGGCTTACCTCACCTCCACTGGCCCTTTTGCTTTTGCCCAGCTGCTTCTCCCTAGCTTGCAGCTAAATGGGGAATGGAAATGACAGTGGAGGTGAGACTCAGAGGTCTGATGGAGTCTGGGTCCTGCTAACTCCTCAGAGCCAGTGACAAGCAGCCGAAGGTCATTGCCAAGGTAGGGCTTAGCAGGAAGGTGAGAAGTCCAGAGGGACTAGATATTCTTGGCAGGCCATCTTTAGGAGAGGGCCTGTCTAACTCCAATGGGGCATGCAGAAAGCTCTCCTTAGCTCGAAAATGTCGTTTATACTTTTTTTCAAAGAATCAGAGAAGAAAGACATGAATTTCCCATTGCAAAAATAATCTCTGGCAGCGGATATTTCATAACTGAAACCTCCAGAAGCCTGTCTTTCTGACAGAGCCATATCATAGTGTTTGGGTGCAGTGGTCTACAGAAGCTCAAGTTCAGGTTAAAGAGCACTGAAACTGCCAGAAACTGACCTACCTGAATTCAGTGTTATCAAACCACAAAAATCTCAGACTCTTCATTTAGAGTATTATTCTTTCAGCCATAGTGAATATTTGCCATTTGATGTTGGTGTGCTGTTATTAAGAATATCAAATATTTTCATATAGTACATGCACTTGAGATTGGATGAGATGACATGTTCAACTAACAGTCTTTTACTAAGACATCCCTAAACATAACGGGCCATTTTGGTACAACACATACTCAAGTCTGATACGACAACTTCCCACTGTCCACTCGCAGACTCCTGCTAATCTGCAAACACTTCTTGAAACACTAGGGCTCCCAAGATCAGTGTGGAGATCCATACACTAGGGCACAAATCCCTCAAAAGTACTAATTTGTTGTCCAGATATTGTCAGCATCTGTCACTAAGACCTTGGTTAGAAGTTGACAATAAGGTCTGTAGCTTAAGATTCTTCAGCTGGCCATGAGGAACACAAGAGGAAGCGGAGGATATAGACACAATTTCATGCTGTCTTTCCGTTGTTGACATCCTGAAACCTCAGATGCCACTGTAAGCCGGAAAGCTTTACCGCCTTTCTTTCTCTCACTATGACTCCCATCTTCACGGCCGCAAACACCTTTTTACTCACATGTGGCAGACAACTCTCTGAAGGGCCAGAGTTCCAGCATTCCCAATTTCTGAGGACTGGGCAGACCCAGAGAAATCTGAAAGCCAGCCTATTGAATGAATCCTGATTTATCTGTTTAAATCTATGTTTATCAAGATCAATATGCCATATTTACCATTATATACTCATCCTTATATGTTCTCAGATTTAAAAAATGATTGTCTCTTTCCTTATATTTTCTTTTTTTTTTTTCCTGACCACTATCTTATGCTTCTACTCCCACCATGCCTTGCTGAATAAAAGTCTCTTATGTTGGTAGTTTTTGTTCTCATTATCAGAGTTTTCATTCATACATCTTCAAAATTCTTTATAATCAATTGTAGTTTGGTATACTATTAAAAACAAGGCATCCCTGATCATCACCACTGATGTTACAACTCTTGTCCATCTGTCCTTGGCCTACCAAGTGAAGGGTCCCCAACCCATATTTTACATGTGAAATATTGTTTAATACAAAGGGTTCAAGACCTCTAAAAAAGGAAGGTTACCACTTTTGAAGAAATGCATTTTATTTCTCAGGTGCTTTTTGTTCTAACAATGTAAGGGATCATTGCAGGGTGATTCTTGCTTGCATTGGGAAATGCAAGACATAACCTTATTTCCCCCTCCCCCTCTAACAGAGCAAGCAGCCTCACTATGTTGGCTTTAGGCTCACCTTACCAGGGAATTCTGGAGCTTCAGATAAGATACTTAGGTTTTCTTTTGCTTGAATTCTAAAGACTCCTGAAGATTGATAGCCTGTGTGGGTTTGTAAATCATTGCTGAGCCAAAAGGTCTCAGATGGCTTTAGAACCTCCCTGCATATTGGTGGCCCTCAGAAAATAAAGAAATAAAAATTGACTAACGTCACCAACCCTGGGCATATTTTTTGGACACACAGTTATTTCCATTCAAGATGGGCAGGGGTTCTCTTACCTTCCTCGCACCTTTATGTCTGAGATCGCATAAAAGTAACGTGCCAAATGTAGCTCATCTACAAATATTTCCCCAACGGCGGGTCTCAATAGCCTGATCCTCAGGTCCGTGACTGTGAAGAAATCTCTGAGTTTCTTGGTTGTATCCAGTTGTCCATAGAGGGAGGCCATATTTCGCAGCCGAGGTCCAGCGAAAAACGCAAACCTGTCTTTGATCTCGAAGTGAATAATTTTGCTGTTTGTAGAGTACCCCGTGGAGTACTCCTCTGTGCAAATGATCTCTAAGACGGACTGCTGGGACAAATCCTTCACAGATTTCGGGTCCATGTGAAAAGCATCTAGGCAGTCTGTGGCATAATACTGATAGGGCTGCCATGTTCGTCCGTAATCGAGAGATTTCTCCAGGATCATTTGGTCTGGACGCCCCGATTCGAAGGTAATAACTATGTTGTCTGTGAGCTCAATGGTTTTGCTCCAAGACAGAGTGATGTTAACCTGGAGAGGTTTGGGGTACTCCTTCCAAGTAGCAGACTGCCAGAAAGTAGAGGGATGTCTTCCTTCAAAATCAAACATGAGCTCAGGAGGGTGCGCCAGTTCAGGGGTACTTGCGTCACACTCATTATTGCACATGTAAGGGTTGCCCTACGGAAGAAGAATAAAGGGGGGTTCATTAAAATATTGCCTCAACACCACCTTACCTTATTGTTGATTGCTAACAAGTGAAGACAGAAAACAGTAACAAAATCACTAAACAGTTCTCTTTCCCCAACTGGATTCTCCTCCATAATAGCCTTTTTAGAAAAGTACTTTGGGGAGCTGGAAAGATGGCCCAGCAATAATAAACATGGGCTGCTCTTCCAGAAGACCTAGGCTCAGTTCCTTGCACCACCTACATGGCAGCTCACAACTCTTTGGAACTCTAGTTCTAGGGCATTAGGCGCCCTCTTCTGACCTGCACAAGCACCAGGCATGCAAGTGGTACACAGAGATACAAAACACTTATAAACATAATGTATAAAAAAAACCATGTAAAATTAATATGGTAGTTTTCTTGTCTTTCTATGGGCTTCCAGTATAAGAAAAGTTCATTTACTCCTGTGTGTTAGACCCATAATGTGATCACAGAAGCCCAAAGATTCAGAACTGCGTAATAGTTCAATCCTTCTACTTCCGCCTAGAAAGGTCCTGCAAGGAAGGTAGGAAGACTTGACATTCCTTAGAACATGATTATTTTTTTAAAATTAAAATATGATTACATCATTTCTCTCTTTCCCTTTGCTTCCTCCAATTCCTCCCATGAATCGTCCCTTGCTCTTTCAAATTTAAACCTTTAAAAAGTCAACTATGTGTATATGTGTATGTGTGTGTGTGTTTATTCCTAAATCTATGAATCCAATATGCTCAGTACATATAATGTTACTTAAATGCATGTTTTCAGGGATCACAATTTGGTTATGGATAATCAGTTGGTTTGCTCTTCCCTAGAAAGACTCTATTGCCCATTCTCCAAATTCCTTAGTTGCCTGTAGCTCTTTGTCTATGATTGAAACTTTCCCTTCCACTTCCCTTGTCTACTGATGCCATCCTTATTCCGGTCTTAGTTAAGGATGGTTCGTCAACAGTTCACTTTTAAAGCAGGTCTTTGGATGTAACCATGACTGATAGACACTAATTCTTGTCCTATATAGCCAAGGATACCCTCATTAACATTCAGCTCTCTCTTGGCTTTGCCCCGGATCCATCATACTTAACTGGGTCCCTGCTTCATAAAATCTGGTTTTAAAACGTTTACTTTATTCACCACAAATCATTAAAATGCGGTCCACTGCAGGCTCTGGGGCTGGATCCAAACATCTGGCATCCTAATAGGTAGATATGAGATGAGTGCTCAGGAATGTCTGGGGCTGAGGATGTGTTTCAAGTAACGGAACACAGAAGTCCACTATAGTTATGCCTCCATATCCTTGAGGTATCGCTTCCAGGTCCCCCGTGGCTACCCAAATCTGTCTAATTTTCAACGGCATAACATTTGCATGTACCCTCCGCACACTTCAAATCAGCTGGAGATGATTTAAATGTAAATGGTATGCAAATAGTTACTCCATCGCATCCTTTTGGGAACATTGACAAGGAATAATCTGTATGTTTCCAGTGCACAGGCAACCATCCTGGGCTTGGGTGCACAGCATTTGAATGCCATCAAAGGAGGGGCACTGAAAGAAGCATGAGAACCTGCTGATAGTGGGAGGCTGCAACAGTGTGCCCGGATGTCACTTATTCTAATGAACTGAACACAGTTCTCAGTGCGGAGCAGAGTCACATTTTGCCACTAACAGCTTTCTGCACTCTTTCTCCAGTGTCCTCAGCCCATGGTAAGTTGACTGAAGATGTGGAGTCTTCTGATCGAGGAGGACCAGCTCCAGGCAACGAAGAAGGCGCTGTGCACCCAACCAGACCCTTGTGTGTTTGTGACTTTGCAGCTGCCCATAGGCAGCTCTCAGCGGATGTTAATCATGATTCTTCTTAAAAATGCTACTTCCTTTACAACCCACTTAAACGAGAAGCTGGAAATAAACCGCCCGTGATGTCACACGTTGTAATGCTGCTGCTGGGGCACTAAATGCCTCTTCTCAGCTTTCCCTGGTAGAATCTGGAGAGAACGACTTGGTATTTCTTAAATGTTTTCTTTAGAAAGAAAAGTAGATAGTAACATCCAAAGTCACTGTTCAGGTATAGTGAATCATTATAGTCATTCTCTTTATTTTTAGGGGCTATCTCACAGAGTAAGACTCTCACAGAATACTTAAAGCCTCAGGTCACACTAAGCCCAGTATATATGGTTTTTTCTATACTTACTTAACCTATAGAAATAATATTTATAATTTTGCACAATAAGGACTTAACAATGACTCCTAATAGAATAATGTCTTACAGTAAAAACTATGTGAATGAGGCCACTCACATAATATCTTTGTATACTCCTCCTTCTGTGACTGCTATAGACTTATAGTCTATGTGATGAGATGTAAATGGGTGACACGGACGGATGCTTTTGATATAGTGCTAGTGGATGAATACTGTGATGCTGGGGATCGCTGCTCTGATTCCTGAGACTGCTATCTGTGACTAATGGGTGGGGAGTATCTACAGTGTAAATACAAAGCTAAAAAGACTATTAATACTCACAAATGGTGGGCTGGAGTCAAGGCATAAGATATCTTACCGTGTTGCTTACAACAGTGCACAATATAAAACTTAAACTGTTTATTTCTAGGTTTTCCTGTCTAATACTTTGGACCCCGGTTGACCACCCGTAGCTGGCACTATGCACAATAAAACGATGAATCAGAGGGATTGCTACATTCTCTCATCCTGTTCTAGGCCTCTGTGAACATGACGGGCTGGAAGACTCTGCCTTCTCATACTGTGCTCAGACTTTCTCATGGAAGTACACTTAGAATTCCTTTCTTATTCTCTTCATGAAGTGTGAGCTTTTGATCATATCATCTGTTGGATGTGTGAGATGGAGCTCTTGTAATTAATTTACACTGTAGATATAGACACTCGGTTACCTGCTGACTCCTATGCAATACAAGATGGGCACTGAAGAATTGCCCCATCCTCCCTAGAGGCAGCTTGCGCCTACCTAGTCAGCTAATACTCTTTCCCCCTTTCCCATTAAAGCAATTGAATCCGAACATTGGCAACAGGCTCGAGAGAGTCAGGTATAATTGAGATGAGGCAGGAGAAAGGAGAGAAGGGATATTATGTGAGGAACAGAAATGTTTTAAAAATATACTCAAGAAATCAGTTATAATGGAAATGTTGCTGTACTTCTCTCTCAAATTTCAATTCCCTATTCCTGATCCCAGCGTCTGCAGGACTATTTATAAGCATTCCCCTTCCAAATGAGCTGGGGCGGGGGTGGGGGCGGGGGGCGGATAGCTTTCTGCTCCAGGTGGAATAAATCACCAAATTTATTATTATTTAAACTCCCTTAAGCATACCAGAGCGCCAAATGCAAAGCTCTGCAAACTGGCAAAGGCTTTTTATGGAGGGCTATAAATATTGTGGAATCTGTCAGGATTTATAAATTCCAAATATATGTAAATGCACACTTTACCGGAAGGGGTCAGATTTACACGGATCATACCTTTATTTGAAATTTACTTTTAAAACATGGTCATTCTGAAAGCTGTCAGCCAGCAGCCATCTGCATAACCATGAACTTGGATGTTATCATCCTTGTCCTGACAGAACTGTCTTCATCTGTGGTTAGGAGTATGGGGGACAAAGGAAATGGGTCTTGCTGTACACAGCAAAGGGAGAGTTGTCACAAATTCGTGTTCACTCTTGGTGGGAGACCATATTTGTTCATCTTCAGCCTAGGTGTGCAAAGATTCTCAGGTGGGGACAAGGTACTGGGACCAAATGAAGAGGAGGTTTTTCGGGCTGATTCTGCACATGTGTCAATAATAACAAACCCTTCCCCAAAACATTACTAAAGAAATCTGTCTAAAAGCTATTCACCCATTCATGAAATAAAGGTGATGTCAATATCCCGACACACACCTCATTCAGTTTGCACTTAGGCATTTTACGTGTCCTGGGCAATCCCTGTCACTCCTCCTTCAGAGAAGAGGGAGTCAAGCATAGGGAAGCATTACAAACCTGCCCGGGTCACTTAAAGTGTGTAAGAAGCGGAGCCAGAAAGATGCCCTGCTACATGTTCTACACCCAAGCCAGTGCGGGTGTCTGTAGCTGAGCCTTGTCTTAGAAACAGTACTGGCTGCTCAAGAGAAAATGCCTAAGATACAAGGAGTTGTTTTTAATTTTTAAGTTTGAAAAACAGTTTAAGATTTTGTTTAAACCCTCATGAGCATCTAAGAAATCTTGAAAGAGGAAACCTCGCTTAGCTTCACAAGATAAACCTTCTCTCACTCATTCAAGCCCCTCTTAAAGTTTGTAGTCCCTCTTTACATCCTACAGACCTAGTACCATGGACTTTTTTGGAGATCTTCTACTTTATATTATTCTTAGACTTGCAAACATGTGAGGTTTGGAGGACTCCCTTTCCCAAGTCTCTATATTAGTCCTTTCTTAAAGGACCACAGGAAACCTGGGTCTCTGTTGTCCTTTGGGAAGAGGCACCCTTTCACTTGTCCTCAACAGGACAGGCAGCTCTGTGTGAAGGCTGACAAAACATGCATTTTCTCACAGCTTCACACAGACCTGAAAGACAAAAGTTCCCTATGTTCAACTGTCCCTATTCACCACTTACTATAGGACTGTATTAAAGGGGCTGTCTGGGCTCCCAAGACACAACAGCGAACAGACTCTGGCCCTTGCCTTCTGTGGTGCTTCCATTCCAGGCGGAGGAGACGAACTAAGCAAATAAATACACAGTCCTGTATAATGCAGTGCGATGGTAGGTACTCAGGGAAAAAGTAACGCCACCAGAAGGAGAGCACCAGGGAGGGAGGGATGCTGATTGTAATGTTATACCGAGAGGTCAGAGAAGGTCTGGCTGATAACATGACATTTGAGCAGATTAAGAACAATTTGTAATTTACACAGGGGATCATCAGAGGAGGTGACCAGAATGACAGGTTTGTCCTTCATCTGACTCTACTCTTAGGGGG